CGTCTTAGGTATAGTCCCCGAAGACATTAATAGAGTTTAGATACTCTTCGTCTAGACTAAGAAGAAGACTCTAGCGAAGAATTACCTTACTAGTAAAAACACTAAGACGGAACCTTAGCCTCTAATCTACTACCTAAAATCCGATAAGGTTAACGTCTAGGCTAGAAGCAACCCTACTAAGGATAAGGCTGCGATCGATTCGAGTAACTACTATATAGGGTTGTTAATAAACTAAGAGAAATTAGTAGATAACTACACTTTCTAGATGTTTACCGAGATAACATAGAAGAACGCGGATAGCTCGATTAAGCTCTAGGGTGGTAGAATAGGTAGTATAATAGAACTAAAAGACCTACCTATAAGCGACGAGGTGTAGACTACTCTATTAGAAGGCCTTATTCGGCTCTACGATTAGCGGGTTATATAGTACGTATATAAAGCCTACGATAAGAAATTTATCGAAACCGCCGCTATCGACGAGTAGTACCTATTCCTTTAGGAATAAGTCTAAGACCGGAGGGACACTCTAAAGGCTTACGCGAACTAAGGTAAAGTTAAGGATAATAAGGACATTAGCCGTAAAGGAGCCTCCGCTTATAATACTAATAAGAACGAAGATATAGAAGCCTTTATAAAGGAGCGATTTGAACTCGAATAGGCGCTCGCGGACGAAGAAAAGTAACTTAGGGACTTCCGAAAAGGCTATATTTCGTCGGAGGATAACAACTACTCGGACGATAACACCCCGAAGGTTATCGGGAGCGAAGACTAGATAAATAGGATTAAGCTTACTACGAACTCCGAGTACGTACTAATAGAAGACTTTAAGACAGCCCTAGCGTATATTAAACTAAATAGGAAAGCGAATATACTAGAGGGCTTCGAAGAAGCTAAGGACCTAAAGGACTAGCCTACTATTAAATATAGAGACGTACTCCTTAAGGTATACTAAGTTGTTAGAGTTAGCGCTAGTCTCTATCTTATAGGTACCTACGACCGGGTATACATTCTCGTAGACGACGTTAGTACTAGAAAGACGATTAACATCCTCGCTATCTTCTATAGCGCTAACCGGCGAATCAGACTCGTACTTAAAAAGGCTAACTATAGTACGTAAATCTAGAATCGGTTAAACGAACGTTTAACCGTCCCTCGAAAAACTATAAACCCTTAGCTAATATTAAAATAGAACTCTCTAGTCCGATCTAGGACCCCGAAAAGATATAAGCTATACAGATAGTAGACTAGCGAATCGAAGTCGAGAAGAGGCGCGCCGATACTACCTAGAAAGAGTAAAGAGATAAGAATAACAACCT